AATGCGAGAATTCGACGACGAACGGCGACTCTCTCACGAACGAGAAACCCCGACCGAAACTCTTGTATCCTGGATGCCCTACTCCCGATCCGTCGGGGCAGGCGAAGCCACTGTGCAAGCCTGGCTCTCCTGTCCGGGTTTGAATTCGCTCAAACTGAAAATATGAAGTGGGATCCGCCACAGGATGGTCTACAATGCCTCGGGCAAGAAGTGGCGTTCCCTCCGTGGCCCTGGTGGCCCTGTGAATGATTTCAGCGTTATCTTCAACAATATCTCTGCGCTGCTGGTCGAGCGCACTGTGCCTGCAGAACCTGTGCTGCTGGGTGCCGATATCGCTGCCGCATGCTTGGCAATCTCGTATGTCTGTCTCTCCTCTTCGCCATCGTACATCTTGTGTGCAGAAGGCGGCGCACAGGTAGCTCTCGATTGCGCCTCTTCGCCTCGGGCAGAAGCGCTGAGCCTTCTGGCGGAAGGGGGCGCGTACTGGTGCCAGAAGAAGGTCGTGGAACTCCAGGTAGCCCATGCTTCTCGTCCCATTCCTCCATGGCGACCTGCTCGAGCCTTGCTAGCGCGAGCGCCGTGATCGTGGAGGGTGGTGCGATCCTCATGTTCAGCTGCTCCTGGTGATGCGTCATGATGATGTGAGGGGCTGGCCAGGTCCATCCAAGCCTGTCCAGGGATCCGTAGAGCGCGGTGGCAGGGCCCCTGACCTGCGTCTAGTTGAACTTGCGGTGGGGGGCCTGCCTGGCTGCTGCTAGGCGCACTGCCCTTCGCCATCCTGCTTCGAGCTTGGCGTAGTCGGCTCCTGGGTCCCAGATGACCGTGGCCCACTTGCCCATCGGGGCGAGGGTGGCCTGCGCTATCCGGTCGGCCGAGTGAAGCCAGATCCGCAAGGCCCTGTCCTTGCCCATGGGCTCGCCGCCGAGGCCGCTGGACATGAGGATGCGGGCCGTGTTGAGGATCGTGGTGGGGGCCCCGAAGCTGGCCGAGGCGTAGCACATGCTGGGGAGCAGGCCATTATTGACCACTGCCCTGGTGGTGGCCCCGTTGGCCCTTCGGCTGAGCAGCCTCCTCTCCCTGCCCCAAGCCTTGCGGATTCTCGAGCCAGCCTTCCGCCGTGATATCGCCCCCCCCCCCCCCCCCGCGGTGTCCACTCCGAGTTGCTGCCCCGTGGCCTTGACGTGGTAGCCGAAGTAGTTGGCCATGGCCCTGCAGGTGTGGCGCAGCTCCTTGTCGGCTGTGATGAAGTAGCTCTTGCCTGGCTTGGTCCCGCGGTTGCGCGAGATGGGTATGCCGAGGTTCCCTTCGATCTGGTTGATGTAGTACTGGGTGCTAGCGTAGATGTCTTCACGTACTTCGTGGCGTCCTCCACCTCGCTGCATCTGGCGGTCGTCCACGTGTAAAACCTGTCGTACACGTGGCCATTGTAAGCGGATCTTGTCGGAGACTGGAATGATGACCATCTTCAGTGCTCTGGTGCCACCACAGGAGCCCGCAATAACGGCCGAGTAGGTGACAGCGCAGACTTTGGACACAATCCGCTGGTACATGATCCATCTGGGTCCCGTGCACATTGATATGAAAAGGTGTGTCACATGTCGCGGGAAGTCGAGATCGGGGCTGGTGTCCCGCAGGAGGTAGGCGCTGATCTGCTCGAAGGCCTTCTCCAGGTCGGACACGGCGCTGAGGGGCACAACGTTGTCTGGTAGGCCTTCCTCAACTAGGGCCTGGGTCCACATGGCGTGCTCTGCTCCTCCTCCCCTTGCTGCCCAACCGGAGTCCCGCGAAATCTTCGCTTCCCATTGAATGTAGATGTCCGCGCGCAGTCTCTCGGTGATCCGCATGGTGGTGGTCATGAGCCCAATAGGCCTAGTATCAGTAGCGTTCTTATCCAGGAGGAAGTAGAGGATGTCCTGCACGCTGGTCGGCCAATGGATGTGTTGGCTGATGTACATGACCAGGTTGCACATGAACTGCGTGCCCTTGTCGGACAGCTCATCCAGCCGTCTGGGATGTATTTGATCCGCCCCTACTCCTGTAGTCGCCCTGAAGGTTCTGCAGACGGTCTTGAAGGCCTCGGTGGTAACATGGATCAGCGGGCGGTCGTAGGTACAATTCTCCCATGGGCAGGGCGGTTCGCCCCGGCTGGTCCCATGATGGGACATCCATAGGCGATGCCATACTGCTGCATGTTGCTCCGTTCGCGTCTGCAGGTCTGCCAGGTCGAGGTTGCGTATGCCCGCGTTGACCTGCGCCGTGGTAGCGTATGGTGTGGGTGGCGCCTTCGCCCACTTGCTGATGCGGTGAATGAACCCTGCCGAACCCTTGGAGGCCTGCTTGAGTCGCTCCCTCCGTTCTTTGCCTCGCTGCAAGGCGATGTGCTGCTCGATCTTGTGCGCCTCGGCACTGGCGTACTGATGCGCTGTGCGTATCTCCAACAGCAGGTCCATGTTCTGAGCGATGTTGTTCTCCAGCGCCAGGTCGATGACTTGCTGGTACAGGCCTGCGTTGGGTATGTGTTTCCATTGGCTGCGGCCGTGCATGCTCTGCCTGGCCAGGCTCCTCCAGTGGGGCATGAGGATGTCGTAGCTGCCTCTCCGCTTGTTGGCGCCGCGGTGGAGGAGCACGATGTCGCCGAGCAGCTTAGCATGCCACCTCCATGCTCTCGAAGTCGGTATCCCTCTAGGTCTGGCATGGGCTTCGGGTCCAGCTGCTGTGACTATAATGAACTTGGGGGCCTTGCCACGGCCCTTGTACATGTATCTTTGGTCATGAGGAATCTAGTGCAGGTGGCAAAGCTCGGCTTCCATGCTGGCGTTGGCCTCCTGCCATAGTCAGTCCAGGTCGTTGGGGTGCAGACGCCTGCTGTAGTCAAGCGGTTGCCATTGGACCTCGATGGGGTATGGCCTATCCTGCGCCAGCGGTGCCTTTGCTGGGAAGGGCTTGACCTTCTGTAGTATGCGTACCTGCGCCTTACAGAAAGACCCTCGAAGAGTCAGGAACAGCGGCGTGTGCGGCGGAACGCTGACCTCGGTGTAGAGCTGCGGGGGGTCGAAGGCTGGGGCGATGCGTTGGTCCACTACGTAGTAGTCCAGCTCGCGATGCCCTGTGGCGTGCTGGCAGGTGGGTCGCCCCGTCGCCAGTAAGACTCCGCCGATGGCGTCGATCCAGTTGCCGGTGGCCAGCTCGCTGGGTAGCATGTTGAAGTCGCCCTGGAGGACCCAGGGGGTGCTGAAGCGGTGGGTGATGTCGGCGATGCGATCAAGCAGGCTGAGGATCCTGATGGTTAGACCCTCCGGGACCCACATGTACACGCTGATGAGCAGCATGCCCCCCTTGCCTCCGATGGGTGCCCAGGCCGCGCACAGGCGCCCTGGTGACCCAGGTGGTGAGTGGTCGAAATCCTGGTATCCCGCCAGCGGTGCCAGGCCAATAGCTGAGGGTACTGCAATATATACTCCTGCGCTGGGTCCTCCGTGAGGCCCAGGGGCAGACCTGGTCATGGCCAGGGTGATGCCTCGCTTCTTGGTGGAGGCGAGGATCTCGGGTATCCACTGATTGCTCAACTGATGCTCTTGTCCAAGGAGAGCCCAAACCTGGCCGCCACACAAGGAGTCGAGTAGCGTGCTGGCGGCGCTCCATGTAGAACAGTTGGCCCCGTAGATCCTGACTCCTGTCTTGGGCGCTCCTCCTTTGCCCCGCTTGGACTGGTTCGGCCGCGGGCCTGCTGAGCTGCTCGCGGCGGGGTCCTCCATCTCCATAGGGTGCTGACAGTCGTGGCTGCCGTGGCGGGTGTCGTAGCTGGGGTTGATGTCGTCTACGTCGTAGTAGTTGGAAGCCGCGACCCCTGGGCCTGGGGTCCGCTCCTTCTCTGCTGGTTGAGGGCGCCTCTTTCGCCTTGCAAGGCCTGGGTGTATGTCGTTGCCCACGCAGGTGTTCATCCTGTCGTTGAGCTCGGCGTCTGCCTCCAGAAGAGCAAGTGAAAAAGGATCCCGCATCGCCTCGGACTGAGCCACTAGTAATGCCGCGAGACGACACTGTCGGACCATCCTGGTGCGGGGCGGGGACGGTCGGCGCGCCCGCCTCCATCCCCCGTAGAGTGGGCACGACAGCGTGGGTTCCACCCCGCCGCCCCCCCCTGGGAGACGCGGGGAGTGCTCGTCCTCCCCCTCTCCCCCACCGTGGCCAGCGGTGGTTTGACTCCTGAGTGGCTCGAGGTGGAGGTGCCTCCGTAGTCTGCGATCCCGCGCGTGTCGGGCTCGCCGTCCGTCCAGGTGCATGTCGATGTCGCGGATGTCTGCGATGTCCGCTGCTCCCGAGCCCCCCCCCCCCCCCCAACTGGCAGAGGAGAGGCGCTGGTCACCCGGGCTGCCTGCTGTGACACAGGTCGCTCAACCCTCAGCGGGCCCTCGGCAAGGTCCTGCGCCTCGCAGGGCGCCAAGCCTTCCACGCCAGGCTGCTCCTGGGCCCGCCGGTTGGGTGCGCGCTTCTCCCTAGCCCGCAGGGGCTGGGACCCGCGACCAGGTGCAGGCTGCAGCATTGCATTGGGGGCGTCTGCTCTGCGCCCACTGAGGTGGGGCTGTCCACCTGCCGTAGAAGCACCTTGAGAAGCTCCCTGACCGCGCTGGGGGGGCAGTGCTCGAACCGCGGACGGCGTCGGCCACCCGCCCGTCGGCGGCGTCGGCGGTGAGCTGGGTGCTGCGGGAGGCGCCGACCACCCGCGCGTCCGCGGCAGCCCGCGCGCACCCGATGCCGCCTCCCCTGCTGTGGTCCGGAGCGGCTCCAGCCCCGCCTCCTTGCCGCAGGCGGCGGCGTTGCTGAGACACGATGACCGAGGGCTGCGAGAGATCCTGATCCTCTCGCGCAGCAGCCTGAGCTCCGAAGGCGGGGTCCTGGTCCATGACCTCGCTGAGCAGCTCCTCTAAGCTCAACCCGTGGGCGGTGTCTGCCACCCGCCCGTCGGCGGCGCCCTCAGCGAGCTGGGCGCCACCAGGTCGATGCTCCCAACGTCGTTCTCGAAGGGCGCCGCGACCGCTCGGGGGCCGAGGGTCCGCGTCCTCTCTGCGGGCGGCCCCCCCCAGCCCTCGCCTCGCAGAGCCTCGCTGCATGTCGTAGTTGTCAACGCAGGTGCCCCTGTCGTCGTTGACCTCCGTGTCTGTCTCTGGGTCGGAGTCGCCTGCCGCCCAGGTCCCTGTCTTGATGATGATCGTGCCCCCGAGAGCGCCTATTCTCTTCGGGGATGTGTCATCGATGAATATGGTACTCCATGCTGGTCCTGCTCCACGAGGTCCAGCGCGATGTGCGGGGCAGTGGTTGGGCGCCCCGCCTGCCCTTGGCTCAGGCGGGTTGGGCCCCTGCCACTGGCCGGGCGCCTGAGGTAGGGGCCTGGTCGTTGTTCTCCTTGACCTTGTCCTTCTTGCGCCTGGCCAGGGTCTCGCTGGTGCGTCGCTGAAGTTCAGCGCGGCCTGCTTCTGTAGAGGGGCAGGTGCCTCTGGGCGGTTCCGCTGCGGGCGGCGCCGATGCAGCGCCTCCAGCAGTGCTCCCTTGAGGCTGGCTGGCTGGGTCTGCTGGTGCTGCTGCTGCTGCCGCGGGAGGCTGGGGGCCCTTGTGGTTGTCCCCTTTGCGCTTCTTGGCCAGCCGCTGCGCGTGCTCCTGGTGCTGTTGCTTGACGGACAGCGCGTGCCCAGCGGCCTCGGCGAAGACTTCCTTTGTCCAGGTTGTGATTTGTTCCTCCAGTGCTCGCTGTCGTTTGCTGATCTCCTCTCGGTTCTCGTTCGTGATGTCCCCTTCCTCGAGGTCGAAGACTGAGCCCCTGTCGATATTCATGCTGCTGCAGGTGCCATCGAGCAGCGCGCCCAGGGCGAGCACAGGCTGCTCAGGGACCTTGGCCTTGTGCAGCTCGTGCAACTGAGCGAGGACCTTGGAGTGCTGCACGTTGAAGTCCTCAAGCTCGGCGTTGAGCTGGGCGACCCAGTCCCTCTGGCCGTCGAGCTCGCGCTCCCATTTGTCGAGCTTGTCCAGGGCCGACTCGAGCTTCTTGGCGTGCTTGTCGCGGGCGTTGGAGATGTTGGACAGCTGCAGCTCCAGGGACTTCTTGGGTCCTCCTGCCGCCAGGCGGTTGATCGTGTCGATCCTCGCCTTGCAGCGCTCCTGGAGCTTTGCGTTGCCCATCTTGGTGGCGACGGTGTACAGCTCGTTGACCTCGGGGAGGTCCAGCTTGTCCACGCTGAAACCGTCGTGTTCGGAGGGTTGGCTGCCAGGGTCCGCTGCACCATTACCGCCAGTGGCCATGCTAGCGCGGTCCGCCCAGCGCCCTTGCGCCGCTGGCGGGGCTGCGTCGCCTGGCTCATGCCTGGGTGCTTGGCAGTGCTTGCACCACGTCCAAGCCCCGAGGTTCTTGCCGCACCCGCACTCCGTGCACTTCCAACTGGGGCCTGCGCGCCAGGGCGCCGCGTCGCGCCACCAGCTCCTGGGCGCCATGGCTGCTGGAGTGTCGGTTCCCGATTCTGGGGCTGACCAGGCGGGTTCGTCGTCTTGCTTCGAGGAGCCTCACAGGATGCCGCGTCGCCTGGGCGGCTCACGCAGCGGTGCGATGAAAGAAACTGTGGTCTAGCCGCGGACTAGCGGTATCCACTTGTTTCCGCTGGGAAACCAAAGCCTTGAGCCAAAATGGTTACGGGAATAGAGGGAGAGAGAAGCGGGACGAAAAGAGGGAAAATGAGGAGGAGCAGGATTTATCCAGCCACGCGCGAGGGGACGGACGGCCCAGATCAGGGCACGAACGATACCAGTCCAGCTCTCTCTCTCTCTCTCTCTCTCTCTCTCTCTCTCTCTCTCTCTTATTATATCTCTCTCTCTCGCTCTCTCTCTCTCTCTCTCTCTCTCTCCATCTCTCCCGGATTCCCCACCCCCTTCGCCGCCTCGTTTTCCTGCCTGCGTCCCCCTCCCAGGCCCACTCCTGGGGGACGTCCCGGGGCCAGCGCGAGCATCTCGGAAGGTAGTGGTCCCGCTCCAGCTCCATCTCCTGCGTTGGAGGAGGAGAAGGGGGAGGATGTCGAGGTAAAAGGGGAGGGTTGATGACCAAGAGGAGGATGAGGAAGATGACGTCGAATATTGGCAGCATGATGAGAAGGGAGAGAGAGGAAGAAGACGACCAGAAGGAGGGGTACGTATGGTTCGAGGGGAGAGGGAGGCCGAGGTAGATGACAAAAAAGGGGGACGGGAGAGGGCGAAAAGAGGAACATTGGGAGAAGGAGGAAGAAGAGGAGGAGGAAGAGGAGGAGAAGGAGGAAGACGATGATCAGGTGATGGATGTGAGATGGATGAGATGGAGGATGACATGGAGCAGGGGAGGATGATGTGGAGGAGGCGATCTTGGATACAGATATAGAAAGTCGGACGAGGAGGACGTCGAATAAGAGGAAATGAAGGGAACACAAGGGGGAGGGCCATGACCAGGAGCAGGGAGGACCCTGAATGGGATGAGGAATGAGGAGGGGGGCAGCTCAGGCGCTGGAGGCCGGCGGGACTCCACAAAGCAGCAGATCACCAGTCATGCAGGCAGGGTGGGACCAAAGCTGCGGCGGCGAGGAAGATGGAGCCACCGGGCGAGGCTCGGGCTCCTCCTCCGCGCACCTCCCTCCCTCCCTCACTCCCTCCCTCACTGGGGGGCAACGAGAGGGGGGGGGACTGGCATGAGGGGGGATGCGTCGACCTGGGCTCGGCGATACATCGCCGACAGATCGGCGATAGGCCTCCGATTTAGTGAATCCGCTGTTGGGCCCCTATCGGCGATCAATGGGCGATTGGGGGTCGATGCATCCCCCCCTATCCCCCCCTATCGTTGCCCCCGGCCCTCCCTGAGCGCCCTGGCGATTGTTCCAGGCGCACTCTGCAGACCGCTGGAGACTCTCCTGGGGCCCTGAGACCCGCAGGCGTCGCAAAGGAGTCGTTCCCCAGTGTCGCTGCCAACCCAAACATGCAGCAAAGTGTGAGCGATCCTCCCGGGGGTCAGTGTGCTCCACCAGGCGGTCATCGGGAGCGGCCAAGAGGGGGGTGTCCAAGAGGGGGGGGGGGTGCAAATCATGACCGGCGGCATGTGCGCGGCCCAGCGGGGGGGCCTGGGACGTAATGAAATGAGAAGAGGCGCCATGAAATCTGAGGAAAAATCATGGCCCGCGCCATGAAATCCACCCCCCCCTAGTCATCACCCCCCTCTTTTCCGCTCCCGAGGTCAGCTCGACCACGTTCAAGTCGCCGGTCTGGAAGGTGCCGTACGAATTCGATGCTCTCACCATGGACGTCCATCACGCGTCTGGAGCTGGAGTGAAAGTGCGACCGTGCTAAAAGCTGCTGCGCTCGAGCAGGGCGATTGTGGCGAGGGACGCTGTCGCAAAACCCTTGATGTCGTCGAACGACATGGAGCCGTATGCCCTTACGCTCAGCTCGCCAACAGACGCGCCAAGCTCACCGTAGAACAAACGATTGAGCTGATGATGTGGGAGATTGACTCGCACGCTGGCAACGCCTGCTTCCACATTGCCCCGTGCAGAAGCAGTGTACAGTGTACTTATCTGGCTCTGTCCAGAAACCCTGAATCCAAAAGACAGTGCTTCTCTCGGAGGGCCGAACTTGAGTTCTGCGGACTTGTGCCAGCGAAGCCAGAAACCCTGAATCCAAACGACAATGCATCTCTCGGAGGGCCGAACTTCAGTTCTGCGGACCTGTGCCGGCGAAACCACCCACGCTTTGCCTACCTCCGCCGGCCTTCCGGTACCTTTTGCAGGATGGCGAGGTGCCTCGGGCGCCCAATCCCTCGAAGGCCAGGCCCTCTGTGGAACTGGCCGCTGCCTTGGCCGGCAGAAGCTCCAGAAAGACACCCGCAGCGCACTCGCACACCGCTGGGGAACTCAGAGCGGCGTGCTTCGCAGGGGGCGTCGCGACGGGGACCTCGGCCAGCGGCGTCGTGCAACCTTGCCTTGATGCCACGCCTCCCCCGGTGTAGGGTTAAGTCGGGCCTGTCCCCCTACAGGGGGATTTTGGGCGAAAAATTGAAAGTCAACGAAAGGAACCAAAAAGGTCAAAAATGTTACAACAATCGTCCCCAGAGTATTTTTTACTATTTTGGAATATCCCTCCTGTAGAGGGACAGGCCCGACTTAAGTGCAGGGTGTTCCCAGATGTGTCCCTGGTCCAGGGTGTCCCCCGCCTCTCGCGCCCTTCTGGAGACCCGGGGCACCTCTGGGCCTCGCGAGGGGTGCTCTGGAGGCCATCTGGGCCTCCCTCTGAAAGGTGGGTGGGGCCACCTTGAGCCACTGTGATAAAAAAAACAACTGTGGTAACGAGAAGCTGTGTGATAAAAGAGTGTGGTCAAAGCAAGTCTGAACAAAACATACAAGTGCGACAAAACAAGATTCTGTCACACTTGCAAGGTGGGGCCACCTTGGACCTGGACCGCCTCCAGCAACACCCAGCTTGTGATGGCGTGCCAGCCAGCGTGCCCACTCACAAGGTCCCAACCGCGACGCTTGGCCGCGAGCAGAGCTTAGAGAGCGGCGAAGAGGGTCCGCGTGAGCCGCGTCGGTTCCAAGACGGGGAAAGGCGGGTTCGCCTTGAGGTACCGTGGCGTTAGCTGCAAACGCACGTTCCGCAAGGGGTGCTCGGCACTTGCAGCAGTAACACGGTCGACGCCGTGAAGCCGCCCATTTCGCAGCTCGCCGGAGAAGAATCGTTGGGTCGTCGATCAGAAACATTTGTAGCAAATTGGTTTGGGCAGAGCGCGGTTTCGGCAAGGGTCAACATACTTACATCGAAGCACGTAGAAGCAAGGTGCTGACATACATTATCAGCCTTGAGCCGAGAGTGGTCTGTAGATGAGGTGGAGGACGAGGAGGGCGAGGGGCATGGGTATGAGCAAGAGAAAAAAGAGGCAAGGGGTGGAAGACGAGAAGGATCTGGAGCAGGATGAAGAGGAGGAGCAGCAGAAGCAGCAGCAGGACGATGAGTTGAGTCTGCCTGGTGGGTCGGGGCTTGGAGGGACTGGATATTAACCCGACAGGGTGCATTCAGGGGTGCAATGAAGGGGTGGCACATCAAGGGGAGGCGTCAACTCGACAGGGGGCAAGTTGACCGCCAGAGCACCCCCCACCTACGCATACACACACACACACACACCGCGGTGGCACTTCTACAGGGATGGTCGATCTCTGACCTACAGGAGCACTCAAACGATGAGGACGATGGGAGAAACACCATGTCTTGACTCCCCAGGCCTCTCGCGGACTGCCGCAAAGCGCGTTCTCATGGCCTGTGGGCCCGTCACGGTGGCCCACATCGAGCAAAGACGTCCTCCTCCCCCCCGTGGCCCGTTCTGCAACCTGGGCCGCTCCCTGACGGCCCGGGGGGGCCCCGCGAGGGCCACGGGAGCCCCAGGAACGGCGAACACCTTCCGGACCCCTGCCCCGGAGGCGTGCTGCTGCCAAACCTCATCCTCCGAGCTGGATCGCCCCCGTCCTCCGTCGGCTCCTCCCTGCTCCCTCGTCCCGAACCGCCCCTTCGGGATTCTTCGGGGGAGTCGACCTGCTGGCACACAGCTTCCCACTCCTATTTGATGGGCGCTGCGCACTGCCCCCCTGGAGAGCGCTTCTCACCTGTCGCGCTGGCGGTCTTTCTTCCTGGCCTCGGTCGCTCCCCACCCCCCCAAAGACAACGACGTCGTCGTCACGATTCGTGCTGACCTCTGAGGTGGCTTCGGTTATACTCCTAGACATTCCCCGACGGCGCCGGCGCGAAACGTGACGTTACCGGCCCCCCGCTCTCCTCCCCCCCCCCTCTCCCCGTCCGTCACGCCCGTGATCGCCAAAGGCTTCCAACACGCTCACCTGACAGGCATCATCTGGAGGGGAATCCAGCCTTCGCGACCAGGAATCTCCCGGCGGCCAGGGCGAGAAACTGGCCACGCCAATGTGTTCAAAGCGTCGGAGATCTGGGGCGGACGTCGTCGTCGTCGTCGTCGTCGCAGCCGCCGCCGCCGCCGTCGTCGCCGCCGCCGTCGTCGTCGTCGTCGTCGTCGTCGTCGTCGTCGTCGTCGTCGTGGCAGAAGACGCGCAACGCCTCCGTCCTCGCCTCGAACCTCGGTCCCCCACGAAGCTCTGGCCAGCGGCATGCCCGAGGGGGTGGCGCCTTTTGGGGGGCAGCGGGCAGCCTTCGGAGCGAGCGCGGGGGGGGCTCTTTGGAAGGCAGGGGGCCTTCTCAGAAGGGAGACAGGCCTGGATGCCTCCACGAAGCCTTCTCAGAAGCAGACCCCCTGTCTTCTGAGAAGCCCCCCCACCCCCACCCTTCTTGCCAGGCCCCCCCCCCCCCACTCACGCGTGCGCGCCGCCAATCCTGGCCCTTGCGACACTCCATTTATTCCGTCTTGACAGGGAGGAAAGGTGAGCAGACGAAGCGAACACCCCATGATCGTCCCACATGTGCGTAAACCCAATCTCCGGAAATCAATCTGTTTCAACCCCTGGCGGCTTTTTGCCGATTCCCGGGACCATCAAACGAGCCTGGCGCGACCCCAATTAGGTGAACGCTTCCTAAGCGGCGTTGCATAGAATTGATTGGCATTGCATTGCTCTGCTGTGCTGTGTAATGCATTGCTTGGCCTTGCTTTGAATTGTTTAAGTTGCTTGGCATTGCTTTGCATTGCTTGGCATTGCTTGGCATTGCTTGGCTCTGCTTTGCATCGCTTCGCATTGCTTGGCGCTGCGTGGCGTTAGGTCGGGCATGTCCCTACAGGCGGATTTTGGACGAAAAATAAGAGATAGTCGAGCCATAATAAAAAATAATCAAATAATCGTGCCCAGGCTAATTTTTGATGGATTTTGAATATTGCTCCTACAGGGGGACATGCCCGACATAAACTTAGCGTTGCTTTGCATTGCTTGGCGTTGTGTGGCACTGCTTTGCATTGCTTGGCGTTGCTTGGTGCTGCTTTGCATCGCTTCGCATTGCTTGGCGCTGCGTGGCCTTACCTATCGTTAGGTCCAACATGTCCCTACAGGCGGATTTGGGACGAATAATAAGAATAGTCGGACCATAATCAAACATAGTCAAATAATCGTGTCCAGGCTATTTGTTGATGGATTTGGAATATTGCTCCTGTGGAGGGACATGCCCGACTTAAACTTAGCGTTGCTTTGCATTGTTTGGCGGTGCTTGGCATTGCTTGGCGTTGTTTTGCGTTGCTTGGCATTGCTTGGCGTTGCTTGGCACAGCTTGGCATTTCTTGGCGTTGCTTGGCATTGCTTGACATTACTTGGCATTGCTTGGCGTTGCTTGAGGGTGCTTGGCGTTGCTTGGCATTGCTTGGCGCTGCTTTGATCTGCTTGGCATTGCTTGGCGTTGCTTGACGTTGCCTGGCAATGCCTGGCATAGCTGGGAAACGGTACCAACTACCAGGGCGGGGAACCCGAGGAGCTCGGGGAATCCGAAGAACCTCCGATGAACGGGCAACGTAAGAATACGAGGCACCTGGGCCAGGGAATCCGAGGAAACCGGGGAACCCGAGGAACCTCCGGGCAATGGGCACAATACGAATACGAGGCACCGAGGGCGGGGAACCCGAGAAGCCGGGAGAACCCGAGGAACCTCTGGGCAACAGGCAAGGTAACACCAGCAGGCACCAACCCGTAACCAAGGGAGAACCCACTGGGCAAAGCCTAAGTGGGCTCAAACAGTGGTCCGAGGCGCAGCACCACCCCCAAGGGAGGGGGTCCAGAACCTGCGGCCGCGGATTGAAACCACCACATCGGCGGGTGTCCGAGAGGTCCGCAGCTGCAGAAGGCTCGACGCGGAAGCGCTCGGAGGCCCTCTCGGCGCAGCAGGCGGACGCCCCTCCTTCTTCTGCACGGCCAGCGCCTCCTGCGCCTGCAGCAGGAGCGTCAGAGGCGCGCCCAGGCCCCCCGCCGCCGCCTCGACGGCCGTGGCCAGGAGGCCGCCACCACCACTGGGGGTGCTGACGGTCAGCCTGGGCGCCGGGAGGGGCGGCCCGGAGCACGCGGCCCGCGCGGATCGATACTCGAGGGCTGAGGTTTTTGAACGTTTCCGTTGGTTTTCGTACGTTTTCGTTCGAATGTGGAGTTTTCTTGTGTTCTCGTGGGTTTTCGGCAGCCTTCCAGCCTCGGGATGCCTTCCAGCGGCTGTGCCTCGCCCAGGGCGTTCCAAGGGTGCCCGGAGCGTCCCGAACGCCCGCCAAGAGGTCCGAGGCATGACCCGACAACCACCAGGGGACGTGCTAAGGGGGGAAAGTGAGGGTCGAGGACAACAGTTTTGGTGCAGCCATCGTGCTGCCACAGAGGGGGGACACTGCATGAGAAGCGGGGGGGGGCTTTTCTGGCCACGGCGAGCCTCGGCCGCGGAGAGGCTCCGCGGCCCGGATCCAAGGAGCGGCCCAACCGCCAGGGAGCCCTTCCCGAGTCCAAAAATGGTCCTCCTGTGGGCGTCTTGGCTGCAAGTCTCTCGGCTCCGCGTCTCTGTCCGACCCGTGGGCGCCGAGAGGCCTCGGCGGCCCTGGGCAGCTCTGGGGGGCGGGGCGCGCGGCTCGCGTGGAGGGCGGGGGGGGGGGCAAGGTGGCATGGAGGGCACGGAGCCCTGTAGCAACAACGTTGCAGCACTGAAGGTGTGCAGGTAAGCCGACTCCGGGAGGCAATGCGCTCCACGTGGGGCCTTTCCTCTTGTGGCAGGGCCGGTCCGAACTCCATACTTCCATCAACAGGAGGCTGGCCGTTGAACCCGATCAGGAATGGTCAGGATGAGAGGGGGAGAAGGATGACGAGGGCACGAATTCCCAAGTGGCATGGAGGTGGAGGAGGAGGAGGAGGAACAGTAATAATAAGAAGAACCAGAGTGCGGTGAGAAAAAGGAGGCGAGCATCCATTTATTGATCCTCTGAGACCTCACAGTTGACCTAAGAACATACGTGTTCGAACTTTTCTGGGCTTGTTTGGCCGTTCTTAGTCCGCCTTGGAGTGACCTGCGCTGGATTTCTCGCATTTGATAATGTCCGTGGGCCGCTTCCAGGACCGAAGGCCATCATCAAAAACAACCCGCGATGAAGAAACGGCCCCGGGGAGAACGTCAACAACTCCAGGGACACGCGGATTGCACATATCAAGTCGTCGGAATCTTTTGGGGCGACACTCGGGCCTTTCACCGCGGACCGCGCGAGAATGTCGAGGGCCACAGGGGGGTTGCGGCAACAACCCTTGTGTCCCCTGTTTCCTGTTCCCTCCTCCTCCTCTTCCTCCTCCTCCTCCTCCTCCTCATCACCATCGTCATCATCATACCTCTCCTGTCTCCTCCACTCCTCCTTACTTCCGTCTAGCTCCTCCCTTCCCGCTGCCTTGTGTTGTTGAGTCTCACGCATATGCTCATGCAATACGCCCCAGCTGGCGTACTGTGGTAGTGTTTCCACAAAGTTCTCGTCGGTGCCCACTTCGGTAATCTTGATGCGCCATTTCCTAGCATCCACCTGCGGTCATTGACGTCAGACGTCGAAAGGCCTAACCTTTCCAAGCGCTCGACGGCTTACGATCGCTATATCTGCACTTGCACCGCGCCTCAACAGTCTACGCACGTCAGTTTCGCAGATTTGCGATACTGCCAATAACCTAGTAATCTCACATGCGCCGTTCCTACGTTGCGGCTCTATCTGACACTATCGCTATGACTGTTCGTCATCGAGCTCAAAGACCTGAGCACGTACTTCCCCCGCACTCCCCCACATACCTACTCCTCCACTTGTTCACTCTCGCGTGTTTTTAATGCCAAACATATCCATACATCGCGCGACCGTGATGTGAGAGGCAATACCGCGCCGGCAGACACGGTACCATTGGGCACCCGAGTTATCGGGAATATTACTGCTGTCCAGAGCAACTGTCCAGAGTAACTCCTGTCTGGGCCCCCGAGATCCGAAGCTGCAGTTGCCCCTGACTGCCCAGAGAGGGAGGAGGAGGAGGAGGAGGAGGAGGAGGAGGAGGAGGAGGAGGAGGAGGAGGAGGAGGATGAGGACGATTCGGGAGGGGTGCACGCCCGAATTCTCCCGGATAGCTGCGGTCCGGGGTCGCTCCGGTTTGGGCCCCCGAGGCGCGAAGCTTCACGCAGCTATCCCTGACCGCCCCCAGCCCTGACGATTCGGGGCTCTGATACCAAGGCACGTTCCAAACGATCGACCCTGCGCGATCGACGTTACAAGCACGCGGAGGGGAGCGGAGAACCCCGGCCTCGGGGGTGCAGTCTGCTTCAAGAGCAAAGAAATCACAGCTGACTGCACGTGGGCGCCCACGGGGCGCACACGGCCAAGCCTCGGGCGAAAGCCCTGGAATCCCAGCCAACGCACGACGAAGCGCCCACGAGGCGCCCACGACTGGGCACTGGCCGAACATCGCGGATCCAGCCCAATTCCTTGAATGAGCAAGTGGTAGCCCCCAGCTGCGACCCCTCTTTGGGGAAGATGTTTCGTATCGGGTTCTCACACATCGCTGGTGAGACCTGCCCCCAAGCCCTTGGCGATGCAACTTCGTGGTAGACTTGATGCTTCGCGCATTACTGCTTTGCTCTTCACTCGTCCGCTCAGCTCCAACTCTCATCGCCTCAACGTTCAAGTCCCGAGGGCTACCGTGTTCGCCAAGCGTGGTATACAGCCCAGTGCGGATCCCAATGAAAGATCCATCTTGTCCGCCGTACCAGCTGCGGGGCTCGGCGAAGGCGCTTCACCCGCGTGCGATGGAACAGTTGCCTATCCTCTCACGCCCAGCCTGAAAGCTCTCCTGTCTGACCGGGAAGAGCAGCAGGAGCGTCCGACCCAAGAGCGGTCCGCGATCTTCGCCGATGACCCCTCGCAGCACACCCTGGAGGAACGACAGGAGGAGAACTACGAGGACGAGCAGGAAGACCTGCCCCCCTCCCCGCCCTCCCTCCCCGCTCTGGGCGTGAATCTGGGAAGGAGGGCGATGAATGGGGGGTGGGGGGAAGGCGCACTTCTCGGGCCGTGACAATCCCCTTTGGGGCCCTAGAGGGCCACTTTTCTGGAGGGCCCTGCAGGGCTCCTCTTCTGCAGCCATCGCCGCTCCCCACCCTTCATCGCCCCCGAATTGCGCGATGCCCACCTCCTCGAGCGCACACCGCCGGCCTTCTGCGGGCCGCGGGTTCCTCCCAGCAGACTGGGAGAAGCTATTCGAAAGGATCGATTGATCCATACAAATATGTAGGCTTACGTTGCTCCCATCGCACCTTCGGACCACATCCCAGGAAGGATTTCGAGCACCCAGAAAAGTCTCGAAACAATGTCGAACGAGCACCGCCTCCCAAGGCCCGACACGTGATAACCATCCGGCTTTTCGGTACTTTCTTCGTGCTCGCAATTATTTCTGGTGGTCAAAGCTAAAGCAGGTTGGAGCATCTTAAGTACAGGACCGCCGACAGTCTGCCAGCGACTCAGCGACGCCCACCTCCTCGAGCGCATACAGCCCGGCCTCCTGAGGGCCACGGGTTCCTCCCAGCAGACTGGGAGAAGCTGGTCGAAAGGATACACACCTACACATATATGTAATGTGTGTGTGTATGTCTACATCTGTAGATATGTACACACGCATGTATACATTTACATATTCATACGCATATGCATAACCCGGAGAAGCAATTAAGGACCCCCCCGGCGTTATCATTAGCACCGCGCCGTAATTAAATAATTATTTGGGGGGGTTTTCGCCGAGCGATATTATTAGCACCGCGCAAATGGAAGGAAAATAAATAATTCCAGCGCCCCGCCTCGGGTGGCATCCCAATTAGAATTGTAATGACCCGTGCGATCTGGTGTACCCCCTCCTGGTGCCAGGATAACGCTTCCGGGTGCCGGGTGCGTTATCCTTTCACCGGAGAGGGGGGGGGGGGTCCTTAATCGCTTACTCGGGTTATCTGTATACATGTATATGGACCGCCGACGGTCTGCCAGAGACTCAGCGAGATCCTCCTTCCCTCCTCCCTGTCGCCTGGCGGCTGGGCCTGCGGCGGGCTCAAGGCCGGCGCCGGCGGGTCCCGCGTTCACGAGGGCCGCCGCCGCGGCCACGCCTACGCTGCAAGCGGCTGCCGAAGGCGAGGGCGACGAGGGCGACGACGAGGATCGAGGGCGATGAGGAGATCGACGAGGAGGATCGGCGAGGCGAGGACGAGGAGGCCGCGGACGAGGAGGATCGCCGTGGCGGAGGGGATCAACGAAGACGAGGAGGGCGACGCTGTCGAGGTTCATGGGCGTCTTCGGGCCTCCGGAAGGGGGCGGGGGGGTTGACGACAAGGCGGGGGATCGAGGAGCGAGGAGGAGGAGGACGAGGATGCGAAACGGATACTTGTTCAAACGGTCTTGACCGTTTCTGGGCCCCCAGGGACGTCGTCGTCGGGTTCGTCGTCGCCGCCACCCAGTTTCGACGTCGTCGCCGTCGTCGTCGTTCCCGCCGTCGCAGGGGGACGTATCGTGACCCCGGGGTGCAGCAGCCCCGCCGGCCGGCGAGAGGCGAGCGCAAGACTCGGGCACGGGAAGCGGGCGGAGGCACGCCGCCGCGCGGGCAGAGCTGGTGGACACGTGCCGATGCCAGCGCCGCCAGCGGGGAACCCCGGGCGCTGGTGGCGCTCGGGCACATAGCTCTTCGGGCCGGGTCTCGGGGATAAGAGGCGCCACGGACGTTCCGACCAGTGGGGTGGGTTTGGGACTCGCGCTCGGAGCGGCTGCGGAGCACTGCCCCGACCAGAGCAGCCGGAGCTTTCCACCCCCCGACAGCGACGGGGACCGCGACGACCAGGAAGACCCGCTCCATGGCAGAGCAGCGGTTCTCCATACCATGCATGGCGCTCGTGCCCCTCCAACCGCCGATGTCCAATGTGACGGGGTGAAGCACGGGAGCGGGCCGACGACACGGGGAAGGGCAAGAGCGGAGGAGGTCTGAGCAATGCCACCCTGCCAGATGGGAGCACGTGCAAGAGCGTGCGGGGTGGGGTGGGGGGAAACAAAGCTAGCTTTGCATCCAGAGTCGTTGCTTGACGGCCTCAGGGCCTGGCAGGGCCCCCCAGAGGCCGAGAGTTGCCAACGACCTTCCGTCGTGCGTTTGTCACAATGCGAGGACTATGAATTTCAACGTCACGGAACACATGTAACATGGTGGAAATTCTAGACCGGAGTCCTAGACGCTATCTTTCTGCGACATTTCCCGAGCCGAATCGATCCGTGAGCGCCCTGGGGCCAGAAATATAACGAATTTGCCATGTGTGAAAAATTGCCACGCCAGAATTTCAAGGAAGGTGGGGCGGGGCAATGGTAGGGATGAACCCGCTCAGGGGGGGAACCGTTGACCTGGAATCGGCTACACATCGCAGGTAGACCGGCGATAGGCCCTCGATGGCGGAGCCTCACGCTTCTGGGCGGGGTGGGCTATCGGGCCTCTATTGGAGATGAATGGGCGACTGGGGGTCGATGCATTCCCCCCTTGAGCCAACCTTGGGGAACAAACATTTACATCATCATGAAATTTCGGAGGTCCGCGCGGATGGCTTGGATCCGGCGCCAGAGACGCCGCCAGCTGGGCCCCAGCACCGATGCGAGAAATCGGCGCGGACCGTCGAAAGTTTACTGTTTATGCGGTTTTTCATTCTCGACGATCGACCCCCCCCACGCTGCCACTCGAAACCGACCGAAACCAGCCGGCCGCAAGCAGCCTAGAAGGGCGAAACGACGCAACAACGACACAACAACCGACCGAACCGAACCGGACCGACAGAAGGCCGCCGACTTGGACGCAGCCGAACCGACCGAACAGTTAACACCCTTGCCCCCCCCCCCCCCCGAACGTCGCCCCTGGGGATAGAGGCCTCCTAGATGGGGTCCGAGTAGATGGGGGTCGGAGGATCGCGCCGCATCGGCGATACATCGGCGACGCACCGCAGATGCATCGGCGACGCATCGGCGATGCACTGGCGGCGTCGGCGGTGCATCGGCGACGTCGGCGTGGAGAAAAAATTGTGGCCCACATCGAGCCGCGTCGCCGATGCATCGCCGATGCATCGGCGATGCATCGGCGATGCGGCGCGATCCTCTGGCCCCACCTGCTCCGACCCCGTCTAGGAGGCCTGGAGGGGAGGTGTCGGGGCGGAGGGGCAGCACCGCCCAGGAGGCGGGCGGAGGCGGCAGCTGCCCGGGGTGGGGCCCGCCTGCGGCCTGCGCCTGTGCGGCCAGGCCGGCGCTCACGGCCTGAGCCTGCGCGGCCGCGATGCCGCTGCCCACGATCGACGGGCCCACCAAGGACTCGTCGGCCGCGCTGCCAGGGACAATGCAAGACGCATCGCCTGGCCGGTCCGGGGCGCTGCACGAGGCGGGGTCAATGATCGGGGGGGGTGAAGAAACGTGCACCTGTTGTCCACCTTCCGGGCCTGAGGGGGCTCGTGCAGAGGAGGAGGAGGAGGAGGAGGAGGAGGAGGAGGAGGAGGAGGAGGGGCGAAGGGCCACGCCACAGGCGATTCGATGAACCATCACGTTGGCACACCCGGAAAGCTGCTCATCGCGGGCAGCAGCGTTCTCCATCCTCCGCTCCTCTCCCGAGCAATGTCCTGGTCTGCAGCGCCCTGGTTATCGGGTCTCTGACCGTCTGGGCTCGCGGGTGCGCCACGCAGCCCGAGACCTCCGGCGCCTTGATATCTTCGCAGCGTGGGAGGAGGCGGCCAGCAGCGGAGGAGGAAGGTTGAGGGGAGGACCCGCTCAGGCTGGTGAACATCGGCATGGAATCAGCAACATCGGCGGTAGGCGCCCGATAGCGACATCGCACGTCCTTGGGGTGGTGGGTTGTCGGGCCCCCATCGGCGATGACTGGGCGATTGGGGGTCGATGCGTCCCCCCGTGAGCCAATCCCCCCAATGGTGATCCTCGCCGTCCAGCTTTCGGGACATAGCTCGGTCATCCAGCGGCTGTTCGGGAGGATCCGGACACCTCCGGAACGCCATCGGCAGGAGGAGGAGGAGGAGGAGGAGGAGGAGGAGGAGGAGGAGGAGGAGGAAGGCGCAACTGCTGGAGAGCACTCCGAGGCTGGGAAGCCGCCGAAAGCCAACGAGAGTTCACGAAAACCTCAAACCTCGAACATCGATCCTGCGCGGGCCGAGTGCTCTGGGACGCCCTTCCCGGCGCCGAGGCTGGCCGTTATAGCACCTCCAGCGGTGGTGGCGGGGCCTCCTGGCCACGGCCGTCGAAGCGACTGCGTCGGAGGCCGCCGAGAACCTACGAGCGTTGCCCTTTGAGGCAGCAAGGAGGAGGAGGAGGAGGAGGAGGAGGAGGAGGAGGAGGAGGAGGAGGAGGAGGTCCCCGAGCCGCAGCCGCGAGCGGAGGGCGCCGAGGAGCGGCGGCGGCGAGGCTCGGTTGCGGCGCGAGAGCGGCACTCTCCCCCAGGAGCGCCGGCCCTCGCCCCAGCGAGAAGCGCGCGTCGGGAGCCCCGGCGCGAGCAGGTCGACCGGCGCCCGCATCGCCCAATCGGACGCGCGAGCTGGAATGGCCCAAATCGCACAGCAGGGCACGCCTCGGGGGAATCGCGCTCCAGTGCTCCACTCGGGCACGCCAGATTTCGTGATCGGGGGGCGCGCAGGCGTGAGCCCCCATCGCCCATGCACGGGCGAAGGCGCAGAGCTGCACCCGAGGTGCACGTTCGAGCGCGCTTGAGCGCAAGGGCGCCCAATGGGCACGAACCGCGCTCCGATCACCACTCTGACGAACGCTGCCTACGTCGGCCGCGCAGGCGCGAAGGGGCAGAGCTGCGCTCAGATCGCCCAGTTGGGTGTTAACCGCGCGAGGGCCCCGCACTGAGCGCGCACTCCAAAAAGAATCCCACACCGCTCACGGAGCGACGGCGCACCACTGCTGCAAAGTCGCCCATCCTGCTGCGAAGAAGTAAGACGGCGCCCGAATCGCCCATCTGGTCACGCTCGGCGCGCCGCCCCGATTGCGGCTTCAGGGCTGGCGCAAGCGCGAGGCAGACGCCCGAATCGCCAATCCAGGCGCGCTGGCGCGAGGCCGCTCCCGCCTCGCGTGGAACTTCCGACACGCGCCCATGTAGACTAGGGAGCCCACAAAGGACGTACGCGCCCAGCTATGTACATGAACGCGGCCCCTCGATCCGTAAGACCGGCCGCGTTATACGAACATTTGCGCAATGTGAACTCTCGAAACCAGCGTGGATTCATGTACATGTACGTCCTTTTTCCGCTCCTGATAGACGCGACGTGCACCGACGTCGCCCATGCCAGGGCGCGCGCGCGCGCAACGCTGCTCCGATCGCCAGTTCTGGCGCCCGTTGGCTCGAAATGCGCCCGAATCTGGAATTACCGCACACCAATCGCCCGGTCGAGCGCGCAAGCCTGACATGGTGCCCAAATCGCGCATCAGGGCACGCGCGCGCGAACCCGCGTTCCAATGCGCCGCAGTGGCGCGCCAGCCCGCGCGAAATGCCGCCCACGTCGCTCGTTCGAGCGCGCCAGGGAGAAATGGCGCCCGACGGCCGCGAACCGCGCTCCAGTCGCCAAGCGCAAGCTGCGCGTGGCAAGCGCGCCCTGCCTCTGCGGCGTCTGCCAAGGCGGACGAGCCCGCGGGGCGCCCCCGTTTGCGAGGACTGCCCCCGGCAGCCACGATCTAAGATGGCGACGGGGCGGCACTCGCCAGACGAGCAAACGACGCGCGACAGAAGGACGGACGGACCAACGCGACGATGACCGCGGCCCCCCGCGGAAACAATCAAACGGAAAAGGGCATCGAAAGAAATCTGCCCCCTCCAAAAACTGAAATGCGCCGCGCGGCCATGGCCGCCCCCGCCAGTTTTCCCGCCCGTAAAATCCGCCGGCCCCCTTGTGGGGCCACCAGGCTGTAGGACCGTGATTCGCAGTTTCCTGTACCAGTCGTAGGTTGTAGTTTCCAGTGTTACAGTTCTGCTTCTTGCTGGTTACTGTAACTAGTTGACTTCTTGCTGGTTACTGTTACTAGTTGATTGACCGCGCGAGGGGGGGGAGGCCCAAACGGGACTTTTAGCGTCTCCTGGGCGCGTTGTCTGAATTGCTGGGGGGGCTCGAAATCAACACCCCTCACGCAGATCCGCGGGGTCAGGGTCCAAAAACACAGGGGATTTGCCACATTTCTGAAATTCGGTGCCACCCCTCACGCAGATCCGCGGGGTCAGGGTCCAAAAACACAGGGATTTGCCACATTTCTGAAATTCGGTGCCACCCCTCACGCAGATCCGCGGGGTCAGGGTCCAAAAACACAGGGGATTTGCCACATTTCTGAAATTCGGTGCCACCCCTCACGCAGATCCGCGGGGTCAGGGTCCAAAAACACAGGGGATTTGCCACATTTCTGAAATTCGGTGCCACCCCTCACGCAGATCCGCGGGGTCAGGGTCCAAAAACACATGGGATTTGCCACATTTCTGAAATTCGGTGCCACCCCTCACGCAGATCCGCGGGGTCAGGGTCCAAAAACACAGGGGATTTGCCACATTTCTGAAATTCGGTGCCACCCCTCACGCAGATCCGCGGGGTCAGGGTCCAAAAACACAGGGGATTTGCCACATTTCTGAAATTCGGTGCCACCCCTCACGCAGATCCGCGGGGTCAGGGTCAAAAAACACAGGGGATTTGCCACATTTCTGAAATTCGGTGCCACCCCTCACGCAGATCCGCGGGGTCAGGGTCCAAAAACACATGGGATGACACATTTCTGAAATTCGGTGCCACCCCTCACGCAGATCCGCGGGGTCAGGGGCCCAAAAACACATGGGATTTGTCACATTTCTGAAATTCGGTGCCACCCCTCACGCAGATCCGCGGGGTCAGGGTCCAAAAACACAAGGGATTTGCCACATTTCTGAAATTCGAACCCATCACGCACATCCATCGCAAGGCGTGGTAACCCAAACTGCGAGAACTCCCTCGGCCCTTTAATCGCAAGGTGTGGTAACCAAACCCTTAAACCATACACGTCTTACCAATCGCCAGGTGTGGTAACCCCTCTTGTGATCAGTTGGTTTTGCTGATTGCGACTCGGCTTCGCATGAAGTTTCGAAACTGCTTCACGACAGCGCCAAGGCCTCATGACTTAGCTCTTCCATGGCCCATTCTCCGAGAGAGGGGGCCGGCGGCAGGGGGCGAAGCCCTTACGGATAAAAAGCGATGTCAATGCTGATGCTGTCCTCGAGCTTCTTGTCCATGGGCGGCAGGTCCTGGAGCTTCTGGCCCTGGGGCTGGATGCCCCCGAGCGTTCTCCATCTCGATCTCGATCTCGATCTCTTCGGCCCGGGTCGCCCCCGCCTCGGCGCGACTGCGGGCTTGCCCGCCGGGGCCTGGCCGCTGACTCCGTCTTGGCTCGGGGCCCGAATTCTCGGGCTGAAATGGCCGCGAAGCTGCTTGTCCTGGGGCTGGCGCTGCTGCTGCTGTCCTCGAAGTTCTGGTCCTGGTGCCTCTGGTCCTGGATACTCTGGCCCTGGAGCTTCTGGTCCTGGGGATTCTGTTTCTGGGGCTGGTCTCGTTGCTGCTGTTCCCGAGACATTGGCCCGAGAGCTTCTGGTCCTGGAGCTTCTTGTCCTGGAGCTGCCGGCCCTGGGGCCGGCGTCGTTGCGGCTGTCCTCGATCGACGATCGCCGAGGCTCGACCTTCAATCCTCGATCCCCGCACGCAGCGATCGAGCGTCGCCTGGCCCAGGATTTGAAATCCTCGGATCTAGGACGCAAGATGTTCGAAGAGCTTCTGATCCAAGATCGCAGAGTCCTCGGATCGAGCGTCAACGATGGCGCGCTCGACGGCCGCATCTCGCGCCCCGCGGCGCGGGCCCGACGACGGCGGCTCGCTCGGCTGAGAAGGGCGCTCTCAGCTCGGCGAGGGCCCCTGCTCGTCCGCCTTCCCCCCGCCCGCCACGCCCTCGGCCGCGCTGCGCCTGCCTGTTGACCTCCGCGGGCGGGTTGCGGGCGGGCTCGAGCGTCTTCTCGGCCCCCCCCTTGCAGCTGGGCAGCGCGGGCGTGGGGCGCCTGTCCGCGGGGCGGCGCGTCTGGCAGAGCGCCTGGAGGCCGGCGCGGGGCTCGCCCAGCCCAGCCTGGATGCGCTGGAAATAACCACCGTAGCTCAACGTGCCCACGTTCTCGGCGCCGAGCTCGACGCCCTTCTTCTTGGCGTTCTGGAGCAGCGCGGGCCGCAAGCTCGGCGGCGGCTTGAAGAGCTCGACGAGATGCTGGTCGTCGCCGTCGAAGGCGTCGAACGCGTCTTCGGTCGCGTCGACGCGCGTCGCCCGGGAAACGGCGCAGACCATCTCGCAGCTGCGCTTGTCTGTCTCGGCGAAGATGCCGGCGAACTCGATGGCCTCGACCTTGCCCGCCTGGTGCGCCATGTCGAGGGCGGTGCCTTGGACGTTCTTGGACCGTGCAGCTCTCGTCCAATGGGGGAAGCTGCTCGTCATCCTCGAAGCGTCCGTTGCCTCGCCGCTCGTCTGGCACTCGCGCATCTCGGCGATGCCAGCCTTCTCGAAGAGGCGGCCCATCAAGTTGATGGGACCTCTTTCTGCTCGGCCTGCTTGGTGAGGAGGTGGCCGAACACTGTGTTCTGGGCCTCGAACTGCACCTGCTCGGAGTTCTGGCCCCTGGAGAATGCCGTGCTCGGTGACGCGGAGCGGCTCGACAGCATGGCGGTCGGCCACTGCTGTGGCGGCTCGGAAGAGCGCGGGCCTCGAACGGCAGCGGGGCGGGCGGGTGGGGGCGGGGCTGTGGGGGAGGAGCAAAAGGAGGAAGGAACAGATAAGAGGGAGAAACCGCGCGCTCGCGCTGTGTAGAGCTGAAATGCTGAATCTCATGACAAGACCACACATTCGTGACTTGGGAAAACTGAAATGGTGTGAACCCCACCACCGTGCCACACGTTCATGTGTTGGGAAAGCTGACGTGGAGATAATCCCAAAACCCTGCCTCGCGTTCGTGACCAAGGGTGCCTGAAATAATGAAAACCCAACGGCCTTGCCACACGCTCGCTGCTAGGGAAAACTGGAACGGTGAGAACCCAATGGCCAATGGCCGTTCCACACCTTCGTGACTTGGGGTAAGGTGAAGTGGTGAGAACCCCATAGTCATTCCACACGATCGTGACTTGGGAAACCTGAACTTGGGGACAGCTGAGTATGTGAGAATCCAATGGCCCTCCACACGTTCGTGGTTTGCAAAACTGAAGCTTCCCCCGTGCGTCGCCTTGCCACACGTTCGTGGCATGGGAAAGCTGACGCGGTTGGAATCCCATGGGCCTGCCACGCGTTCGTGAACTCGGAACACGAAGTGGTGATAATCTTTGGCCCTGCCACACGTGCGTGACTTGGGAAAACTGAAATGGTGAGAATCCCATAGCCCTGCCACGCGCTCGTGAGTCAGGAAAGTAGAACGCGTGATAACCCCAAGTCCCTACCACTCGTAGTGTGGCTATTCGATAATGGGAAGATGGCAACTTCGATTCGTAGTTTCCCTGGCGATAATGAAATTCGGCGTCGCCGCCCTTCTCACGGCCCCCAAATCGCGCAACGATTTGGGGGGCAGGAAATTATTCAGGAAAACCTTTGGGTGCTTCTCGGCTGCTTTGCCTTCTGCGTTTTTGGCCTCTCGCAGCCTGGGCTCTTGTGGCGCGGCGGGAATCTCATGGCCGTGCGCTGCAGTGCGGCAGGCGGGTTCTCACGGCCGCGCGCTGCATTGCAGCAGGTGGTTCTCATGGCCGTGCGCTGCAGGGCAGCAGGCGGTTCCTCCTTTCTCCCTCCCGCTGGTTGGTTGATTGATTGATTGGCGTGCGGGGTGCCCTGTGGTCCGCTGCCATGTTGCAGTCTGGCTGGTTGATTGGATGGCTGGTCGCCGCGGATGCTGGATTGGCTCCGGGCGGTGGCGTCGCAGGAGCTGTGCCCCGCGCGATCCTGGCACTGCACTTGCTTCCCAGGGTGCAGGCTGCAGGGCAGGCGATTGGGTCGGGCTCGAAACCCACCCTCTTCCACCCTCGTTGCTTGTGCAATTGTTGGGCGGCGCCCTTGCCGGGCTGGGCCCCTGGTGGATTCCAGTCTGGGCCAGCCTGAGGGCGCCAGGTTACTCATCTCGCCCAATGTTGGCGCGAGGGCGTCGCCCAACTTCGCGGCCGAACGTCCGTGCGTAGAAGATTTTCCCCCGACCATTTCTGTTTTGGCGCAACGTGATCAATTCTCAGGGGTCAGGAAAAGGGGGGTCTGTATTATCCGCGGTGCGCGGCTATCCTCGTCCCACAGCCCGGTCCAAATTTGGCATCTCCCAGGGCCCAGCGGACTCAGGTTTTCCACATGCGTTGCAGCTCTGGGCCCGCGCGCCCGCGGGGGCAGGCGGCGCCCGGCAGCAGCGACGCGGCGAGCGGCGGGCGGCGCGGCAGCGGCAGGCGGCGAGGAACGGCGGCAGCGAGGGGCGGCGCGAGGGCGGCGCCCCTGCGGCGAGCAGCCCGCCCGCGCGCGGCCTCCTGCGGCGGGCGGCGGGCCCGGCGAGCGGCGCGACGAGGAGGGCTCGGGCCGGGCGCGGCCGTCGCCGCCCAGCCGGCGGGGCGGGCCGGCCGCCGCCACAGGGGCGCGGCCTCCCCGGCGGGCGGGGCGGAGCGGAGCGGGAGGGATGCCATCAGCCAAAAAGGGCAGGTGGCCAGATACTCCACAGGGAGGGGGGCGGGACCACCAGGGGGAACCCTGCGAATTATGGGAACGCAGTTTCCTTTTGAAGAGCAGCACTCGATGGGCTGGAGTTGCGTTCTCCCCATGCTTTTTAATCACGGGGAACGCAAGCCCAGACGACTGCCGGCGGAGGGAAGGGGGAGATCGGGACATCGCGAGCGGCGAACATACGCGCATCCACGCCCTCGCGGTCCTGGATTCTGCGGCGCGATGCCGTGGACACGCGGCCGCATAAGGTACGTTCCGCGCATGTTGGGCATCCGCGAAAGACGCCCAATATCCGTGGGGTCGCGGTCCAGAGGCCAAGCCCACAAGGCCGTGGATAGATATGTGTCCCAGACGCGAGGATGGGCATGCAACGCTCGGGGGGATCAAGGTTTTCGGACGTTGTCGTAGGCTCTCGGCGGCCTGGATGCCTTCCAGCGGCTGCGCCTCGCCGAGAGCATCCGGGAATGCCCCGATCGTCCTGGACGTCCATCGGAGGGCGAATTATATAGCACCCCGCAATTGCGGATAAGAGTGAGGGGGCGGGCGCGGGCGACGCGGGCGTCGTCAAGCCGGCGGACCTCGTGGCCCCCACCTTCCCTGTCGATGGCGCTCTCCTTCTCCCCCTCCTCCTCCTCCTCCTCCTCCTCCTCCGCCTCCTCCTCCTCCTCCTCCTCCTTCTCCTCCTCCTATTCCTCGTCCTCGTCCTCGTCTCATCGTCATCGTCGTCCTCCTCCTCCACCTCGTCCTCCTCCTC